TAAATGATCAAAACATCGGGAGACCTGCGGCTCGACCAAGAAAATGCGGATCGATCCATTTTAACAACTGGATCGATCGATCCACTTGTTAAAGATATGGATCGATCGATCCACTCCCCAGAACTGCACAAAAATGAGATCTTTTTCTCTATATCCGTCGGAAATTCACAACTTTCGGACGGTTTTCCGACCATTATGTCCGTCGAAAATCTTATTAAAATATCGAGATCTCTTTCTCTCCTCTTTCTCTCCGCCGCTAACGAGATCTTCTTCTCTGTGCAAAATTTCACCGATCTCTTTCTCCACCGCAGATTTCGTTCTCTCCATGGACGATCTCCTCCCCACCGCCGGTCTTTCTCCTCCACCGCCGGTTCTTCTTTTTCTCTCACCATCTCCACCACCGGATCTCTTTCTCCACCGCAGATCTTGTTCTCTCCATGGACGAATCTCCTCCCCACCGCCGGTCTTTCTCCTCCACCGCCAGTTCTTCTTTTTCTCTCACCATCTCCACCGCCGGTTCTCTCACCATCTCCACCGCCGGTTCTTCATCATCTCCACCGCCGCAAAACATGTATGTGTTTCCAATAATGAAATTGTTAGAGTTTATAAAATTGTTAGAGTCCTGTTTTTAATCGAAAAGGCTGATTTGTTTGTGAATTGTTTTTGAGATTGTGAATTGTTTGTAAATTGAACAAGTTACATGATGTCACTATGTACGTGTTTCCAATCACAGTAAGAAACAAATCATTCTCTAATCTCTTTTACTTATTGATGTAATTTCTGATTTGGGTTTTTTTGGGTGTTATTCTGAGAATCTGAGATCAATGACGAAGTTGGTAAAGTTTGATTCATAATTTGAGAATCTGAGATGAATTTGCAGGTTGCTTAACGATTTTCGTAGAATTTGTGAGCTCCCTAGACGTTCGGTGAGTGAAAACACAGCCCCAAATCCCCCGAGCCAATCTCATATTCCGGACAGCCAAAGCTCCAACCAACAACAACTTACGATCCAAGAGTTGTTGACTCAACCGAGCCGAGAGAAGATTCCAAAGCTCGACCCATTGTGTCGAGGCGATTCGACTTGGTAAATTACTAAAATTTTGTATGGAATGTTACGATTATTACTAACTTTGTTTTTTTTTTTACTAACACGTTGTTTTCATGTTTCTAGGTTTGGTAAGAAAAATAGGATGTCCAAATCATTTTTGAAGATGATACGTTCTTTTCTCAAACATCCTTATAAGACGTGGAACGCAATGCCTGAGAGTGAGAAACAGTTGTGGTTCCGAAGTTTTACGGTATGTCTTCATATACGAACGCAATGCCTGACAGTGAGAACGTAACTGTGGTTGTATGCATATACGAAGTATCATAATAATTAAAAGAGAATTGACTAGCTAGCAATAAGTTTTACGATATGTCTTCAATTAACAAAAAGTTTAGTAAGATTATAATCTTATAGTTACTAATTATTTATTTTCTTAATAATGTAGCAAGATTATAATTGGCATCCTCAATTGACGGGACAAGTTTGGGAAGCGTTCGACAAGATGGCTGCAGATAGTTACTCGAGATACATGAACGAGTGGAAGGCAAAATGGGAGAACGGGGAGGACAAACCACGTAACTTGAACGAAGATGTTTGGTTGGGACTGCAGCCTTATTGGGGTGATCCAGCAACGAAAAAGCTTGCAAAGATTAACTCGGAGAACCGTTAGAAGATCCTCGAGGTACTCACAACTCTGGGGCTACGAGTTTCTTAACGCGGAAGGACGAGATGGTAAGTGTATTTGAATTTTTCTTAAATAGTTTTTGTTATTTTTTACATTAACAAAATTTATTAAACGTTTGTATATTAAAGAATCTGGCGGTGTGGCTCCGGATTTAGTTGCTTTGATTAAACGTACACACACGAACAAATCCGGCAAGATCGATTATCCGAACATTGCTCAAATCGTCGAGAAAGTGGAGAAGAGAAAGGAAGAGCGGCTTATGCAAATGTCTCTCTCTCAAGGTTTGGATGGTTCTTCTTCGTCGAACCAGTTGTCCCAAGACGAAGTCAACAATATGGTCCTCGAGGTATTGTTATGTTTTAATTATATGTCAACTTTGTTTTTTTCCACAATTTTTCATATTGATGCATCTCATATTTTATAGGAAACGCCATTGCGCAAGGGTCGCCATCCTGGATTAGGCAATCTAGTTTCTAGGTTCGAACCTAGTTCTTCTTCGGCGAGCAATCCCGTACTCTTAGAAGAAGTTGAAAGTCTCA